GTGATCCTTTGCATTTGGTGGGACATCAGAGGAGTAATTCATTTCGAACTCCTCAGTCCACAGCGAACTGTCAATGCAGAGGTCTATAGTGAGCAACTCGAACATTTAAATCAAGCCCTTCATCAGAAACGCCCTTCACTCGTCAATCGGAGAGGTGTTCTTTTTCTCCACGACAATGCACGTCCACATGTGAAATGTTTGACGTAACACAAGATTACGGAGTTCGGTTGGGAAGTTCTCCCCACCTTTCATAATCTCCAGATATGGCACCATCGAATTATCTTTTTTGTTCGCTGCAACACCATCTTAATTGGAAAACGTATGCAAATGTTGGAGGTGTTAAAGAGGACATTGACATGTTTTTTTGGTTCAAAGCCAAGTGATTGCTTTTATCAGGGCATTAACAACCTAATTTAATAAATGTTTTGTTTTGATATACAAGTTGTTCGGGTTTGTTCATCTAAAAAACCGACATTAATTTTTTGACGACCTAATATTACTATCAGTACTTATGTTCTTTGATATTAAAAACCAAAACCCGACACGGGCACAAAAATGTTGCTAACAATGCTTATGCTTTTTTGTTATTAAAAACGTAATCCAGAAACATTTTGAATGGCCCGTCGCAAAAATTCGCAAATCTTAGGGCATGGGGTGGTAGGCAGATTTATACAAGCCACAAACGAACGGTTAAAAACAAAATTCCGAAACGGACACAAAAATATCATTAGCAGTATTTATGCTACTTTGATATTAAAAATAATAACTCGACATGGACACAAAAATATTAGCAACAGTACTTATGTTACTTTGATATTAAAAACAAAAACCCGAAACGGACACAAAAATATTAGTAACAGTACTTGTGTTACTTTGATTTTAAAAAGAAAAACCCGAAACGGACACACAAAAGTATTACTATCAGTTTAAAGTAAAATTTAGTAACAAAATTTATCTGATCTTATTTTTCTTTATAATTTATTTCTCCGTGAGAGTGTGGACCATACTTTCAAGATACATCTACTTATTGTTACAGCATGAGGAGTAGGTTTTAGTTTTGTTTTCAATGAGTAAAAGTGTTCTCTTTTGTAGACTGACAGAAATGTCTCGATGTACAGCATAAAAAAATATGTAGAGCCCACTTTTCCGAGATTTTAAATGTTTTTTATCGTCTTAACAAAAAATGAAAGCTTTTCTATTTTTTTTATCGTCTTAACAAAAAATGAAAGCTTTCTATTTTATTCGTATCTGAAGATATTTTAATTTACTTTTAATTTTAATTTACTTGTAATATTCTGAAAATATGAAATGGAAACTGATCCCAGCTTATATCACTGTTACATTAACAGACAGGGTCACCTGATCCCAACTTACTAACATCGTTGCTACATTAACAGACAGGGTCAAATGACCCTGGACGAACTGGCCCTGTCACATTAACAGACAGGGTCAAATGACCCTGGACGAACTGGCCCTGTCACATTAACAGACAGGCTCAACTGACCCTGGACGAACTGGCCCTGTCACATTAATAGACAGGGTCAACTGACCCTGGACGAACTGGCCCTGTCACATTAATAGACAGGGTCAACTGACCCTGGACGAACTGGCCCTGTCACATTAATAGACAGGGTCAACTGA